CCTGGCTGGAGGAAGTAGGTCAATAGGGGCAGGCCTTGAGGTTTCTAGCCCAGCCCTACTTCCTGCTGCTCTTTGCTTCCTGACTGCAAGTGCAATGTGACCATGTCACATTGTTTCCATATCTTTTCCACCATGATAGACTGTTTTCCTTCCTAAACCATGGATCATTTTAAACATTTCCTTCCTTAAGTTGTTGTTTGTGTCAAGTATTTTGTCATAACAATAAACAAAGTAACTAATACATCTGGTATTGTCTCAAAGGATAAAGTGCACCTTATATGCCTCACATTAGTTTTAGTTTTCTTTTTAGTGATTCATGGCAAGAAAATTAAGAGAATGAAACCTTTACTTAAGTCAGTCTATTTAAAACTTGTTTTCCAAATAAAAAATGAAATGTGATTCTTACTTCTAGTTCTACGATCATCCCAGGTTTCCCTCAGTTATTTTTTTATGTAGTCATTCATTCAGAAAATATTGACTGAGCTCATTTAACACTGGGCACCATTCCAGGATCCCAGGAAACCAAGGCAGAGTCATGAATTGGGACTTAAGCAGCAGTCTAATGGGGTTAATTAACAAGGTAAGTTTTATAGTGTGATAAGTGGTAACAGGAGTTTGTATAACATTTAATATGGAGAGACAAGAAAGGTAATTACTGTGGAGCAGTTTTGGAAACATGAACTAGACAGGCTTGTTTGGGAAAGAACTGCTGGATGGGACAGGAGAGGAAAATGTTGTGTAGGAGTAGCACTAGGTTTTCCATAAGGCCACAGTTTTTAAATGTGACAATGTGATAAGCCACGTACATATTACTCAAGAGTTTGAATGATGTAAAGGGTAGTCACTATAGTTGATATCTTTGATATGATATTTTGATACAATATTTTTATTGATTGATTTTTTAAAAAATTTATTATTTTTATTTATTTGTGTGCATGTATTGCTTGCATGTAGGTAAGTGCACCCGTGTCGTGCAATGCCCACATAAGACAGACAAGGCTGTCAGATCCCCTGGAACTGTAGTTATGGATAATTGTTAGATGCCATGTGGGTGCTGGTATTCAAACCTGGTTCTTCTGCAAGAACACTCAGTGTTCTTAACCACTGAACCATCTCTCCAGCCCCTGATTGATTTTTTTAAATAATTATTTTTATTCTATGTGTATGAATGTTTTGCCTGCATGTATGTAAGTGCACCCATGTATGCAATGCCCACAGAGGCCAGAAGAGGGTGTCAAATCCCCTGGAACTAGAATTAAGGACAGTCTTAGCCTCCATGTGGGTGAGGGGAACTGAACCCAGGTTGTGTGTAAGAGGCTCTAAACCACTGAGCCATCTCTTCAGCCTCTTGACATGATATTTTAAGAGAAAGACGGTTTGGAGAACTTACTGAAGGCAGGAGGTGAGGCCAGTTAGGAAACAAACAGTCAGGTTGAGGGTGAAGTTGACAGTGAGGATGGTGCTTGTTAATCAGCTTTTCACAGATGTGGCAGCAAAATATCTGAGGTAACTTAAAGATGAAAAGACTTATTCTGGGTCATATTTTCTTTAGGATGGTTCAGCCATGGTTACTTGACTCTGTTGCCTTTACATCTGTAGTGAGGGAGAACATTATAGTAGAAACACAGTGGAGTAATCTGCTTACCTCATGGTAGCTAGGGGGCAAAAAGAAAGAGACAGGAAGGGGCTGAGATCCCAATATCTACTTTAAAGACTGCATTAATCACTTTTCTGTTCCTGTGATAGAAACACTGACCAAAGCAATTTAAAGAAGGAAGAGTTTATTTGAGCTTACGATTCCAAGGGGCAAGAGTCCATCATCGTGGGGAGGTATGGTGGCAGAGGTGGCTAGAGGAGGAGTGGAAGCTAGGCTCTCACATCTTCAAGTGGGCACAGGAAACAAGAGAGCCACTGGAGATCCAGCAAAGCTGAAGAACTCTCTAAACCCGGGCCTATTGACATGCTTCCTCTAACGTAGCCACACCTTCTAAAACCTCCCAAAACAGCACCACCACTGGGGACAAAATGTCCAGATACTTGGAGCTTATGTGGGACGTTTTCATCCAAACCACCACAAAGGCGCACTCTCAATGACATGACTTCTTACATGAAAGGTTCCAGCACCTCCCAATAGCACCAAAGACCAAGCCTTTAGCACAGGCGACTTTAGGGAACATTTAAGATCTAGTCCACAGCACTGGTAATAGCCCTAATTTTGTTAGCAAATCTTCAAGTAAATTAATTTGAGTTCATTTAAAAATGCGTGATAACGTTACTTGGGGCACTAGAACAATAATAACTCACAATAAAAAGTTAGCAATTTCTGTCATAAAGAACCAAAGTCACATACAGAGTTCTATAGTCAATGGAAGAGTAAAAGATATATCCATTATATTGAGTATGCCAACCTGGTAATTGACAGAAAATTCATTGATATATATTTTTTTAAGTTCCTGGACTAAATAGCTAGATTTGTCAGAAGAGACATAACCAATCTTTATCTTGCTGTCACAGAAAACCATGAGATGTGGAGATTTAGGGAGATAATTTAGTCCAGTTTTTAAATTACAGATAAGAAGCCCAAGACCCAGAGGTGAAGCCACTTGCAGAAGGTGACACCAGCAGTGGCAGTGCTGAGGTTGGAATCCAGATGTCTGACTTACTGAGCAGGGGTCTTTTTCCTACAGCCCAACTGCTTCCCAAGAAAGGTATGGCAATATGTTGACAGGATGTGGATGATCAGTAAAATAGGGCTTTTACAGTTCTTTCAAGCTACAAAGAACATTCAAAAAAGTTAAGACCTGTTTTATTATTTGGGGTTGGCCATTTTCCAATATTAATTGACAATGTTAATGCCAATATCAGCAATTGCTCCTCACACACTTGCTTTCCAGAAATAATTTTGGGTTAATACAGGTATGTAAGTACATATGATTTATATTATTATTACCTTTACATTTAAAAAATTGAAACAGAAACATTGGTTTATTGAGGATTAGCAAGAGGAGACTTTCAAAGATTAAGAATGGTTGGTTTGAGAACAAGCCACTTCATAGTATTCATCAAATGACAGAAAAAGTTGTGTAGCTTCTTTTTTTTAAATATTTTTTTCTTTTCTTTTTTTAATTTTTACAAAAACTTTATTGAGCATTTCATACATGTATATAAGGTGTTTTGATCAAATCCATGCCCACTCCCTCCCCTCCAACACTCCCCCCTCTGAAGAGGTAACCCTAAAATCTTTTAAGGAATAATTACAAGCTCCCAAATACTTTTGACAATTTTTGTCCTTGGAACAGAGTATGTTGCTAACAGGCCCAAGGACATTTTGACTTTTAGCCCAGAAACTGTCTACATTTCTTTGGGGTCTTTTTACCCTAACTACCTAACCAATTCCTACCTCCTATTCTTATCACCCCATCCTCTGAAGATGCAGACTACTCTGGCTTCTTCCATGCTGAACTGGGATGCCGGGTGTGGTAATTAGAGTACCCCTTAAGTGGGTCTATCTAAAAGACTCCCAAATTGCATAACTCTTATCTC